ACAAAGTATTATACCAACACAAGCTGTTGCAGAGGAAGTAATGTATATTACTGTTATTGGATGTTTTCTCTTCCTTTTCTCTTTTTAATGTTCTCTCTTCATTTGAACAATCTAAGTGCTCTATTTATAGAGCCACTTCAATGGAAAATTACAAAAGGATTACTATTTAGCTTGTGAGTTTATACTATACACATGTGATACTTTACTATACACATGTGATACTTTACTATACACATGTGATATTTTACTATACACATGTGGGCAAACATACCCACTATTTACAACACTCCCCCTTGGATGCCCACATATCAGTATCAGTTGCCTCATTAAAACCTTGCTTGGAAAAACCCAGTGGGAAAAAACCATAGCAAAGGAAAAAGAGTACAACTTTACCTGGATGGTGTTGAGCATGCTTATGTTGCCTCGTTAAAACCTTGATAGGAAAAACCCAGTGGGAAAAAACCATAGCAAAGGAAAAAGAGTACAACATACATGTATCATGGATGCTCCCTCTGAATTGTATCTCCCCCTGATTCCGCATTCTTCAAATTTGTAAGTCGACGTAATCCGATTCCCTACACCAACTTCTGAAATGTGCACTTTGGTAGAGATTTGGTGAATAAGTCTGCTAAATTTTCATTGGAATGGATTTGTCTGACTTCAGTAACTTTACCCTTCTGAAGCTCATATGCACTGAAAAATCTTGGAGATATGTGTTTAGTCTTATCACCTTTGATGAATCTTTCCTTCATCTGGGCGACACGAGTTCTATTGAGCTCTTCAGGGGTTCTAACTAGGTTCATATCATCGACATATACTGCCACTATAGCAAATCCAATATTTGATTTCTTAATGAACACACAAGGGCAGATGACATTGTTGGCATATCCTTCTTTAATCAAATACTCACTGAGACGATTATGCCACATTCGCCCAAATTGTTTCAGCCCATACAATGATCTCCTTAATTTGATTGAGAACATACCTCGTGGTTTGTTAGTTGCTTCAGGCAACTTAAGTCCTTCTAGGACTTTCATATATATGTCAGTATCTAATTCTCCATATAGATACGCGGTGATGACATCCATAAGTCGCATGTCAAGTTTTTCTAAAATCACCAAACTTATTAAGTAACGGAACGTAATTGTGTCCATTACAGAAGGGTATGTCTCTTCAAAATCAATTCCAAGTCTTTGTGAAAAACCTTGTGCAACGAGTCTTGCTTTATATCTTGCAATCTCGTTTTTCTCGTTGTGTTTCCTTGTGAATACCTATTTGTAACCTACGGGGTTCACACCAGGAGGGGTTTGGACTATTGGTCCAAAAACACTTCGTCTTTCCAAGGACTTTAATTCTGCCTGGATTGCATCTTTCCACTTAGGCCAATCTTGTCTCTGTCTGCATTCGTCAACAGAGCGGGGCTCAATATCATCACTTAAGATAATTTCAGTGGCTATTGCAAATACAAACATGTCGTCGATGATTATTTCATTTCGATCCCACAATTCATTAGTACATGCATAATTTATGGATATTTCTTTACTTTCATGTACTTCTGTCTCTTCAGTGACAGATGTCCCATCAAGGGCATTTTCTTTTTCTGGAAGTACAGATGCATGAATTATGGATTTATCATTCAATTTCTTTTCTTAAATGATTTCATTTGGGTTCAACTATGCCCTCATCTTTCTCTTTCGAAGGGCTGAATCTTTTGAACCTGGAGGTCTACCACACTTCAGGCGTGCACTAGAGGAATCATTCGCTGCCACTTTATTTTGTCCAACAGGGACATCAGTTTTTGCAGGTGCATTTGCAGCTAGTATATGTAACTTTGTCACTTTCGAAGCATCATTAAATGCATCTAGCATTTGATTAGCGATATCTTGAAGATGAACGATCCTTTTCACTTCATTTTCACATTGAGTGATTCGTGGATCAAAATGAGATAAGGTGGGAACAACCCATGTCAGTTCTTGCCGTTCTTCTGGAACAATCTTTTCTCCCTCTAACGACGGGAAAACTGTCTCATCAAAATGACAATCAGCAAAATGAGCTGTAAACATATCACCAGTCAAAGATTCCAAATATCTAATGATAGATGGTGAATCAAAACCCACATAAATTCCCAGTCTGCGCTGAGGTCCCATTTTAGTTCGTTGTGGTGGTGCAATAGGCACATAAACAGCACAACCAAAAACTCGTAAATGGGAAATGTTTGGTTGTTGTCCAAACATGAGCTGTATTGATGAATATTGGTGGTTGGCTATGGGTCTCAACCTAACCAATGATGCAGCATGTAATATGGCATGTCCCTATGCAGAGACTAACAATTTCGTTTTCATGAGTAGAGTGCGGGCTATTAATTGAAGCCGCTTGATAAATGCCCCTGCTAAACCATTTTGAGTATGGACATGAGGAACAGGGTGTTCAACATCAATGCCCAGTGCCATACAGTAATCATCAAAGGTTTGAGACGTAAATTCACCAACATTATCAAGTCGAATGGACTTAATGGGATAATCTAGGAATTGTGCTCGCAACTTAATTATCTGAGCAAGAAGTCTCGCAAAAGCTACATTTCAAGTAGACAATAGGCAAACATGTGACCATCGCGTAGATGCATCAACCAAACCATAAAATATCGAAATGGTCCACAAGGTGGTTGAATAGGTCCACAAATATCCCCTTGAATTCTTTGCAAAAATGATGGGGCTTCATCATCAACCTTTAGTTGTGATGGTCTAATTACCAACTTCCCTTGGGAACAAGCCTTGCAAGGGTTATCATTTGAGACATCAATATGTCTGCTCAATAATGGATGTCCATTAGAGTTGGTAATGATTCTACGCATCATGGTAGATCCTGGATAACCTAGACGGTCATGCCAAAGCATGTAAACCTTTGAATCAATGAACTTCTGGTTCATGACAGTATATGCCTCAACTGTCCTTATGTATGTATAATACAATCCACTCGATAAACCATGTAACTTCTCCAATGTATGCTTCTAGGTATCATTGGAGGTAATGCATAAATATTCCACATTTTCTACACTTTTCGTTTCAATGTGGTATCCATTTAGACGTATGTCTTTAAAACTCAACAAATTTCGAATAGATCGAGTAGCATATAATGCATTCTTTATAGACAATATTGTTCCATTTGGTAATGTTGATGCACAAAACCAGAGGTCTTGGTACAACGTAAATCCGACCGTGAATCTGCAAGTAATGTAAATAACATAAGATGTATCGTGGTTCACCCCAAGGTTTAGGCTACGTCCACACTGATTATGTATTTATTTGAGGGAGAGAGAGCTCTGAGAGTGAGAGCTTTGAGAGGGGGTGAAGAGCCTTAGGAATTGGTCTCTCCTAATTGTGACGGTGAGGAGTCCTTTTATAAAATAAGGACTCCTCACTTATTACATATTTGCCCCTTCTTTTATCACATAATTACATTTAAATCTCCCGAGTATTTATACGAGGTTTAAATACGGATGCCCTAAATATGGTATAAACAGTAGTCCCCCCAAGTCTTCAGTCAAGATAGTCTTTTGGCTGGAGACTTGAAATTCAGTCCAAGTATGGGCAGAAGTAACTAGATGTTGCCTAGAACTGATGCTTGATATAAGGCAGTGCTCAATCTGAAATGATGTTCAACTAGAAGTAGCACATGCTGCTCGGCTCGTGGCTTATGCTGCCTTGGTTGGCTCGTCTTGTGGCGTTGAAGGTGAAGGAGACCCTTTTATAGAATAAGGGTTCGTTCCTCAATACATGAATGATGGGTTAAAGTTGATGCTCTCTAATGATGGTGAGGGAGTCCCTTTTATAAAATAAGGGATCACTCTTCAATACATAAGTGATGGGTGCTCTCTAATGAAAGTAAGGGAGTCCTTGAGAATTTTTCATGAGGCCCAGTTGAGGCCCAATATATGGTACATAATGTAGTCCCCTAAGTCTTCGGTCAATAGAGTCTGTTAGCTGGAGACTTCAAATTGAATCCATGTATGAGCCGAAGTGGTGGTTGTTCGGAGGCGATATTTGTATACCCTACACTGAAGCTTTGTAGGTGAAGTTTTGCAAGTGAAGCTTTGAAACTAGAGTTCTGTAAATGAGGCTTTCGAAGCTGGAGCTTTTGTAAATGAAGCTTTTGAAGCTAGAGCTCTGTAAATGAAGTTTTTGAAGCTAGAGCTCTGTAAATGAAGCTTTCGAAGCTGATTGACATGAGTGATGCTCATGAATGTTAACATAAGTGATGCTCATGAATGTTGACATGAATGATGGTCATGAATGTTTATGTATGATTGTCATGAGTGATGCTCATGAATGTTTATGTATGAATGACATGAGTAATGCTCATGTATAATTTGGAATATTGGGCGTACTTTTGATCACCTGGTTGGTGGCATGAAGGAGAGTACAGGTTGTACATTTCATCACCTGGTTGGTGGCATGAATGGCTAGTTGCCAAATGATATTAGAGTACGGGTTGTACATTTCATCACCTGGTTGGTGGTAATAGCGGCAGGTTGCCGAATAATTGTGGAGTATAGAGCGTACTTTTGATCACCTGGTTGGTGGTAATAGCGGCAGGTTGCCGAATAATTTTGGAGTACTGAGCGTACTTTTGGTCACCTGGTTGGAGCTATTTTGGGCTTATGGGCCTTCGTTCTCCACACAACATTCCAACCCATTTATTTTAGGCTTTGCCCTTTTTTTTTTTTGACCCTCTAATGGGGTTTATACAGATATCTTCGAAAGATAAGAAAAATAAATTACATCATACAAAAACAAGAAAAGTAAATCACATCATTCTGGTGGGGTGTTTATTCCTTGCTTTTGTTTTCTCTTTCTCTTTTGCTTTTTGCAATATTCTCCCAACGACATGATCTTTTTTCTTTTTCTTTTCTATTCCTTTACCCTGATCTCTCCCCCTCCAGACACACTCACTTGTTTTTGCTTTTACTTTCCCTTTTTTGCTTTGATTTTGTTTTTGTTGGACTAATGTGCCTTTCTTTTTCTTTGCTTGGTGGTTGAGCTGGCAGGGATTGCGTCCGAGCATAGTGAGAGGTCAAAGTCGGAGAGCATGATGTGACCGTCCGATCTGACCAGCACGTTCTCGGGTTTTAAGTCCCTATAGATGATTCCCAACATGTGGAGGTATTCCAACGCCACCAGGACCTCCACAGCGTAGAACCTTGCGGAGTTGAGGGAGAAACGTTTGTGAGGCTGAATGTGGCGGAGGGAGTAGAGGTTGCCACTGGAGCAGTACTCCATGACGATGCAGGAGAAATGCGAGGCTTCGAACTCGGCGTAGAAAGTGGGCAAGAACAGGTGGTCAAGCATTTTGATGATCTTTCTCTCCATCTCGGCTCTCTGCACCTTCTTCTTCATCGCTAGAGCCTCATTGTCGATGACTTTCATGGTGTAAAGGCATGAGGAGGACGAAAACTCGGTATCCTGATCGGCTGGATTTGAAGAGTCGCTGCTTCTAAGATTCAAGCTGCGGGGAGAAGAAACCGATCAAGAGATTCAAGATGTAGATCCCCAGACCATAGGAGACAACACGGAACCCCTGAACGCAGAATGGTACTGGAATGCGTTGATCGATCCAAATAGTACTGGAATGTTCTCGCAAAACCGCTCAATCGTTTTCTCTACTGTGAGCTACTCTTGTTCCCCATCAGACCTAGCAGCACTTCAATCCATCAAAACCAGACTCACCGATTCCTCATTGGGCATCTTCAACTTCTGGGTCGGAACTGCTTGCTGCGTAAACTAGTATGGAACCAGCGGCTGCTGCTGCAGAAGCTCATCCTCCGCCACTTAGAACCAGTGACACCCGCACCGACGATGATGACGTCGACGTCACCGTCAATGGATCTACCTTCTCCGTTGGAGACCATCACGCTCTTCACGCACTCACTCATATTCTCCTCCTCTACGGAACCTCTCTCTTTCTCGTCGCTGCTCTTCGCCAGTGCTCTGTAAAGAAACACGGCGCCCAGTAAGCACACGCTCTTGAAGATCTGAGAGTATTGAGATAGCTTGCACGTGTCAGGTGAACCGTGCTCGTCGCTGCAACATTACTGCGGTTGGCCGAATGCTTTGCATGCGCTCTTGCACGCGACTCCTTTAGTTCCGTCGGCGCTAGTGACCTTGAGCTCTGAAGGACAACGGGTGTTGAGGTCAACAACGTAACCGGTGTTCGTACAGTTGGTCCTAGTTGTTAGTAGCCCAAGGATGGTTAGTAGAGAAACTAAACATCGATGGTAATCGAGCCATGCATTCAGAGGTGAATGTTTTCGTATGGAAGCTAGACTTTGTAGAAATGAGAGAGAAAGAGAGAATCCTGCGAAGGTTTTCTGGAAAAGCCAAAGAGGGAAGTTTTTTGGGTTCTTGGGTTTTACAGTGTTCATTTTGCAGATTTTGCAGATTCACGACGAAGGTGAAAAAATGAAAGAGAACTGACACAACTTTTCGTATCGATTCCCACAGACAGCGCCAAATGTTGATGCACAAAACTAGAAAAAAAAAAGGCAAAGCCCAAAATAAATGGGTTGGAATGTTGTGTGGAGAGCGAAGGCTCATAAGCCCAAAATAGCTCTAACCAGGTGACCAAAAGTACGCCCAATACTCCAAAATTATTCGGCAACCTGCCGCTATTAACACCATCCAGGTGATCAAAAGTACACCCAATACTCCACAATTATTCGGCAACCCGCCGCTATTACCACTAACCAGGTGATGAAATGTACAACCTATACTCTCCTTTATACCACCAACCAGGTGATCAAAAGTACGCCCAGTACTCCAAATTATACATGAGCATTACTCATATCATTTATACATAAATATTCATGAACATCACTCATGACAATCATACATAAACATTCATGTCAACATTCATGAGCATCACTCATGTTAACATTCATGAGCATCACTCATGACAACATCCATGAGCATCACTCATGTCAATCAACATAAACATTCATGAGCATCACTCATGTCAATCAGCTTCAAAAGCTTCATTTACAGAGCTCTAGCTTCAAAAGCTTCATTTACAAAAGTTTCAGCTTCGAAAGCCTCATTTACAGAGCTCTAGCTTCAAAGCTTCACTTGCAAAGCTTCACCTACAAAGCTTCAGTGCAGGGTATACAAATACCGCCTCTGAACAACCGCCACTTCGGCCCATACATGGATTCAATTTGAAGTTTTCAGTTAACAGACTCTATTTACCGAAGACTTGGGGGACTACATTATGTACCATATATTGGGCCTCATGAAAAATACTCGGGGGACTCCCTCACTTTCATTAGAGAGCACCCATCACTTATGTATTAAGGAGCGAGCCCTTATTCTATAAAAGGGACTCCCTCACCATCATTAAAGAGCATCAACTTTAACCCATCATTCATGTATTGAGGAACGAGCCCTTATTTTATAAAAGGGATTCCCTCACCTTTAACGCCACAAGCCGAGGCAACCAAGGCAACATAAGCCACGAGCCGAGCAGCCTCGTAGCATGTGCTACTTCTAGTTGAACATCATTTCAGATTGAGCACCGCCTCATATCAAGCATCAGTTCAAGGCAACATCTAGTTACTTCGGCCCACACATGGACTGAATTTTAAGTCTCCAACCAAAAGACTCTCTTGACTGAAGACTTGGGGGACTACTGTTTATACCATATTTAGGGCCTCCGTATTTAGACCTCGTATAAATACTCGGGGGATTTAAATGTAATTATGTGATAAAGGAAGGGGCAAATATATAATAAGTGAGGAGTCCTTATTCTATAAAATGACCATTCACCCTCACAATTAGGAGAGGCCAATTCCTAAGGCTCCTCACCCCCTCTCAAAGCTCTCACTCTCAGAGCTCTCTCTCCCTCAAATAAATACATAATCAGTGTGGACGTAGCCCAAACCTTGGGGTGAACCATGATACATCTTGTGTTATTTACATTACTTGCAGATTTACGGTCGGATTTACGTTGTACCAAGACCTCCGGTTTTGTGCATCAACAGGTAACATAATCTAGGCTTTTCCTAAGCCTTCAATTACATCTGATTGCCCTGATATTGTTGTTACCTTTACTTTTGCAAGTACCAAATTCGAGAAATACTTTCGATCTCGAAGTATTAAATGTGTTGTTGCGCTGTCTGTAATACAAAATTCTCCGCCATTGCTCTTGTTTTGAGAATAACCATAATTTTTATCCATGTTCTCTGAGTAAAGAAAAAGCAGTTTATTCATACTAGAATACTACTTTTATTGAATTGAAAATGCGAGCATTAAACCACATGTACAAATAACAGGAGTACATTAAACATAAATAATTCAATCAGACCCATAAACTTCATTCCCTCTTTCATTAATAAAGTATGTAGCATCCATGTGGGTTGTGTTTAACTGTCCTGATAAATTGGTCACTGGATCAGGGGTTTCCATTGGTTGAGCCTGGTCGAAGAAATTGATCTCGACACCCTTCTCCTTGAAGGAGGCTTGATACAGCTCCACCAGATGCTTTGAGGTGCGACAAGTATGCGCCTAATGTCCGTTGCCACCACACCTATGGCAACCTCCTTCATGATTTCTAGGAGTGTTCACATGAGCTTTTCCTTTCTGGCGATTTGCATTTTTAAAGTTCGGGCCTGGATTATGCCTTGGAACCTGGTTGTGAAACTGGTTGTGAAACTGGACACCATGGTTCTTGCCTTTCCCTTTCCACCGGCCTTGCTTGTGGCCACGTCCTTATCAAGGGAAGCAGCATTCACTTCTAGGAACGGTGCTGATCCAGTAGGTCGGGAATTATGGTTTTTCATCAAGAGCTCACTGTTCTGTTCAGCTACCAGAAGCACAGATATCAGTTGGTTGTATTCAGTGAAGCCTCGTGCTCTATAATGTTGCTGCAGTACCATGTTAGAGGTGTGGAATATGCTGAAGGTCTTTTCCAATAACATCTCCTCAGTAATAGTATCCCCACAGAGCTTCATTTGAGAGGTAATTCTGAACAACGCCGAATTGTACTCAGCCACTGACTTGAAATCTTGGATCCTTAGGTGAGTCCAGTCATAGCGAGCTCTTGGAAGAATCACCATTGTCTGGTGATTGTCTCTGCTTCTTAAGGCATTCCAGAGGGCTAACAGATCTTCAACCGTTAAGTACTCGCTCTTTAGTGCCTCATCAAGATGGCAACGAATAAAAATCATGGCCTTTGCCCGATCTTGAGAGGATAAGCTGCTCTCTTCCTTGATGGTATCTCCAAGATTCGCTGCTTCCAGATGGATCTTGGTATCCAGTACCCAGGTAAGGTAATTATTTCCAGTAATGTCCAGGGTAGCGAAATCAAGCTTTGCCAAGTTTGCCATTTTCTTTTCTGAAAGAAAATTGAGGTGTGTAAAAACTTGCAATAATATGTGTTCTGGAGGAATATATTGTTAGAACTTCTGGTTTTTACAAAATTTGATCTTCAAGCCAAAATGATAAGTACTCAAAACTTCAGGCTCAAGATTTACATAATTAATGAGAAGGGCAATTGTACCGCACCATTCTCATCGAAACAAGTATAGGATGTGCGATTATTCTGCACTACTTTAAACAACAGGAAAATTTAAATATGTAGAGCAAGATGGACGATTATACCGTACCACCTAAAATTGCGATAAAATTTAAATATACAAAGCAGGGTGGATGATTATACCGCACCACCTAAAATTGCGATAAAATTAAATATGTAAAGTAGGGTGGGTGATTATTTCACACCACCTAAAATTGCGATAAAATTAAATAACAGGCAAATTTAAATATGCAGGATAGGGCAGGCGATGATACCGCTCCACTTAAAATTTGCAGTAAAATTAGATCTGCAGTCCAAGATAGGCGATAGAACCGCACAATCTTGGATTGCATAAATAATCAGTGGGTTAGTAGTCAATATCTACACCAAACAAAAAATCAAAGATATAAGTGACTGTTAGTTAGAGAACTAGAAGTAAACATGGTGCAAACAGTTCTTCGCGAGGGTATACCCAGCAATTGAGGCAGAAGAAGAAGAAGAACAGTAAAAACCTTAGAGGAAACATTTTTTTTTTTCGATGAAGGGAAATGAGAAATGATTAGAGAGTCGTGCTGATAACGTGTTATAAATAGGCAAAATTTATAGAGATAACCTTTACTCGAGACAAAAACAAAGCAATTGCAGAGTATTATACCAACACAAGCTGTTGCAGAGGAAGTAATGTATATTACTGCTATTGGATGTTTTCTCTTCCTTTTCTCTTTTTAATGTTCTCTCTTCATTTGAACAATCTAAGTGCTCTATTTATAGAGCCACTTCAATGGAAAATTACAAAAGGATTACTATTTAGCTTGTGAGTTTATACTATACACATGTGATACTTTACTATACACATGTGATATTTTACCATACACATGTGGGCAAACATACCCACTATTTACAACACCATGGACCTTTAAGTTTTTTTGTTTTTTTTTTGAACCAACGATATTATTTACGCTAAGGGGAAGGGGGTGGGCTAGCAATAATGTGGTTCAAATTCATCTTTGATAAGAATCGAACCTAAGACCTCTCACTTATAAGTGAAGAGGAATACCACTAGATTGTAGTACTAAGTGACTGGACCTTTAAGTAATTAAGAAAAAATATAATCACTTTTTTGTCAGTTGATTTGTTATATTTGTTTGTGCTATTACAATTTATAGAAAGCAAAACTGAAAATTGAAAAAAAAATCACAATTTTAGGGCCTCTAATTCATTTTCGCACAGGGTCCCTAAAATCTCAGGGCCGACTCTGAATAAGGTTGAGGTTTTTGGTGCATTTCTCAAGTTTTGTGCTTATGTTGAGAATCAATTTCATGCTATAGTTAAAGTTTTATAATTTGATGGTGGTGATGAGTTTATGAGTAATGTTTTTAAGACTTATCTGGAGAATAATGGAATAGTGCATCATAGATCATGTCCATACACATCTCAACAAAATGGATTGGCAGAGTCCATGACCGAACTTCTAATGTAATGCTCTTTCGATTAGCCTTACTCCGACCCTAGAAAATCAAAGTCCCACAATTGCCCTTAACTATGCATCTAAAAAGCAACTTATTCCTCTTGAGGATGGATAGCTATCCAAAGACTATGTCTTTCTGAGTAAGCTGGAATACGTACCGTTTGGTCTTCCATTACTTTATGGTAGTTCGACTACTAGAAGAGTAGTGGAGACATTTCAACCTTCAGACGTGTAACTACAAGTTCTGTGTCATAAAGAAAGTAATGATGAAACTTTTCGTTTTGTCCTATAAGCAAGCAAAATGAGATTTTCGCAAATATTCCCTTTTCATCTCATCCGCTAGATTTGTTTCCTTCAAAACACGCATGTTTATATTCACATCCCAGCTAATGGCATCATAAAGTAAATCTCCCAAGAAACCCAAAGCATCCCCTATAACCTTCCTCTAACTAGGGTCCGCAACCAAGTTTAATGCTAGGCTTTCATCAAAGATCGTTTAGATGTTCTTGGTCACTGTAGAGTTTGGTGAGAGCCTGGGCATGACATTTGTACCCCTCTTCTTGCATATTATGACCTTCTCGTCCTTGCACCAGAATTTATCCCTGATTCCTGGACCTTGGCCTACATTTTCCTCTCTCCAATCTTTTAAAGAGCATCTTGTTGTGTTATGACATAATGATTTATAATATGTCCTTGACTGCCTTTAGGCTCATCACATGTTTTGAGCTGCTCAATCACTGGTATAAGGTTGAACTGGGCATTCAAGAATTCAGGGTTTTATACAACATCTAAAAAGGTTTTGATGATCACTGCTAGTTTTCTTTGTAAGCTGTACATCTTAGACCTTCCTTGGCAAGATAGAGATTGGTATGACAAAAATTTCATTGTGGATGGCGAATTGGGAAAATGATGTTAAAGGAGTTAGGGTTAAAGCTATTACTTCCCCTGAGCTAAGGTTTAGTAATAATTTGGTGGATATCGGAGTATGTGGCCCAAAATTTATCATTAGGTGATGCGAATCTCCACTGCACACTATCAGTGGAAGTGGTTATTTTCCTCTAGACGCTTCTATGAGCAGCGAGAGGATATTGTTACTCACCATTGTTCTAAATTTTGTATATCTTAGTCGGAGTGGGCTAAAGCTAAGGACATTCTTTCCAAGACCTACCTCTTCAAATCTAAAACTTATCTTACTCTTGAGTCAAATGAGCAAAAACAATCAAGTAGTTCTTCTTCTTTAACCCTATTAGCTCCACCGCACTCATAATTGCTAATTTATGGACATCGCACTTGAGGGCCTTGAGGAGGAAGCTCCACTAAGGAGAAAGAAATATTCTAATTGTCGTATCCTTCTGATTATTGAGGAACCTGCTCTGTTCTTCATAGTTAGAGGAATGGAAAGTTCTTCCTATCCAGTATTGCGAGAACTACTTGAAGTTCGACTCTCACCTACCCTTCTTTCTTTCTTACCTCATGATGTTATGTTCACTCCGATCGTCTTTTCTTCTACCCTTGCGGGACTTCCAACAACATATCTTATTGATACATCTCTCAATATCACCTATGTGGAGCCAAAAATAATCAAGAGATGACATGTGAATTCTGGGGTAAAAATGACAAAATTACCCTCGAATAACACCAGAATTCCTACGCGCGAGCAGTGGACAATCATCCCACAATCAAGTTAAAAGTGCCCAAAATAGGTAACCCCCAAAACATTCATTTCAAATTATATTCCAAAATAGGTAACCCACAAAGGGCCGGTTACTATCTCTACAAAGGAGGCTGGCCATGCCCTATATATACTACCCCATTTTCTCTAAAACCTAAATTCCAATTCTCTTGCTAAATTCTCTAAATTCTCCAAACACTTTTCTTTCAAAATTATAACTTTGGCATCGGAGGTTCTTCTGCCAAAGCCCCCCCATTCATCGTGGGCACATGAGGCTTTTGGCCTTGATCTAAGGTGTTATTTGTTTTGTAGGTGCAGTTTTGTCTAAGAACAAGGAGAAAGAAATTTGCATCCACAACCTCCACCTTCTCTCACTTTGGCTAAGATTGAAGGGACAACTCATCCTCTGCTCGTAATTAGGCCGTCAATGGACAATGTTGCCCTTCCAGTAGACGCCAGTGGACTCCAGAACATGGACTACACTAGGGCCCTTCCTTGGCATTGCTATCACACCTGTCAATTACAAGGAGATTCACATGTCTTTTTAAGGTGTCCTAGTGCGATGCCATGCAAGCTGCTGTAAAGCAATATTTTAATTTTTTTTCATTCATTCTGCATTCTTACCTTTTATTTACTAGGCTAACATGTGGACGGAGGTCCCCTTATTTCGCCGATCGGGATGAATACATGAGCTTGAACATATGTCTTCAATGGAGTCAGAGAGTATAATAAAGCCAGAGCAATAGATGTTGGCTTAGTCAAATGAGCTTAAAAAGCTTCGCGCAGATCATCAAGCATTGAAGGAAGCCCACGAGGTGGATATTTGTAAGTATAGTAATCCTGCTATAATTGAGGAAATCAATACGAAGATGTTTCGAGAGAGCCTTGTGAAGGTAAAGAAAGAGTTGATTTCTAAGCGTTTTCCGAAAAATGAAGTGGAGCATGCCTTGTTGAACTTGAAGGTCTAGTTGGAGCATGCTTTATCCTGTGCCCGAGTATCTGGGAGACAGAAAATGTCGATTTTCAGGTGGATATAGGGAGGAAAAAGGATGCTCGCTTAGCAGACCTTCAGAAGCTGATGGAGGTGAATGAAGCGGAGATGTCTTCTCTTCGCGAAGATCATAGAGAGACGGTTAGGAACGTATACACTAAGAATTATAACTATGGTTACCTCACAGGCTATGCCCGAAGTGATCAAATGAACTGGTGGAGAGTTCATTAAATCCTCAAAGAGATTCGGAACGTTGGTTGGTCCGTCCTAGAGTGCCTCCTCAACCAAATCTCAGATTTAGAAGCAAAACAAGAGGATGAGTCTCATTCCAATGGTCATCTGCCATCTAACGCACCAGTTGAACCCTTATATTCTTTTAAGGGAAAAGAAGTTGCTAAGGGTGATTAACTGTTTTATTTCGCCAGGATAAGGGTGTGTCCTTTCCTTAATTAAACTTTTCTGATTCAACAATGGGTTTCCTTTTGCTTGTTCCCTTTCCCTCTTGTTTAAACGCACTTCCTTTTTTTTTTTTTTTTTGGTAGGAGATTTTATGATCTTCATTTTTGTTTTTCATTTTATTTGTGAATTTGTTTATTTATTTTTAATTTTTCATCTTTATGTCTTCTTGAAGTTATTTTTATAATTGTTTTAATGTCCAAGTAAGCAAATAAGTGGAACCCATTGTTGCCACATGTACGTACATTTAACAGAAAAATTAAATGGGACTTAGCGAATCTGAAATTTTCAATAGGTTAGGTACTTGTTTGAAATGTTTAAAAAGATTGGGACCAATTTAGAATGACATTAAAAAGTTAAAAGGTTTTAGGTATTTAATCCAAAAAAATAATAATTAATAATAAAAAAGTACTATTGTTTTATTAATTTTTATTAAATGTTTTAAAAAATAAAATTTTAATACCCAATTGCTTGAGCAATTAATTTCCAAGGTGGAGATGCATTTGATCAATTACTATTTACTAAGACAATATTATATTTATCTACCTATTTACTAAGACAATAAAACTTTAATATCCAATTGCCCGAGCCATTAATTTACAGGATGGAGATGCATTTGATCAATTACTGTTTACTAAGACAATAATTATCTTAATCTAATTAATTGGACTATTGGGTTGGAGGTGCTCTAACTAAGGGTGGGGCATAAAAACTGTGGAACCACGTAGCTAGATCAAATTGCAACAAAATAAACTGTAAAACCCCGTGTTGATCGAAAATAGTCAACATAGGTTCAAGAACTGAACCAAACCGTTCATACCGGTTTCGGTTTTCATGTTGGTAGAACCACTTAGAGCCGAACCAAACCATGAATACAAATAAATAATTAAATTAATAGTTGAATGTAGGTGTCACTAAATGAGTGGTGAAAACCAAACAGGTTTTCCCCTAGTGCAACTGGGAGCATTTCTCAATTAGGTATTTCACTTGCACGGTTCACCTATTGAGATAAGGCACATATTTGAAAAAAGAAGGTCATTTTCTCTCCTAGATCTCCAAATTTGACATCAGGTTGCGATTTTTTTTGTTTTTTTTTTTGTTTTTGATAGAGTGATGTTAAGGTGTTCAATAACATTCTGTTTTTTTTTTTTCTATTCTTTTTCCTGTTTTTTTTTTTTTTAAAATCTCTCGATAAGTCCATTTTGGGCTTAAATATTGGATTTATACTAACATTTTACTGCATACTGAATGTATTTGTATGTGTGGATGTATATTTGTATTATGAATGTTATATGTACATTTGAATTGTGTTCCTTTTTTTGTTTGTTTGATGTCAACAATATTTGCATTTTGATTTAGTATTTGAAAATGATATGTTTTGTTTGTAACTTTATATAACCATTTTAGAAGTCGTATTTGACCGCAAGCATGCAAAAAACAAGAGAAAACTTTGAATACCATTTTAATATGGTATTTAAATGACCTAGTATTCAGAACTGTAAAACGGCATGGATCGAACCGAAATTGGTGTGGACCAAACCGTATGATTTTAGTAATAAATTTAAGCGAAACAACACTGAATCCAACCATTGATATTTTCTAGTTCCGATTCCGTTTGAGGGTGTAACCGTAGCGAACAACATCATGCCCACCCATAGCTCTAACGTCAGTAATTTTTATAGTCCGTTTCCGGGTCATAAATGGACCACGTCCAAATCTGGCCAACTCTCACCCAGACACAACGACTACTAACGTCTGAACTAAGACCGAATGTCACTTTCGTAAATATCTCCAAAAGTGATGCCCAAGTTGAGAAAGCCCCAACTCATCATCTGCCTTGAGTTAGGGGTGGGCAAACGGATCCTAGACCTGCGGGTCAGGGCTGGTCCTCTCGGTTCAGGACGTGTCTAATATTTTACGGAAGAAAAGGGACGAGGCGGGCCGGATCCAAATGTTAAGAGGAACGGGCCCCCGGCCCGAACGGTTTCCAGAGTGGGATATTGGATGATTGTAAGGATATATTCACACCTCCATGCTCCTCCATTCGACGGACACTCGGTCTTCCTCTCCCATTCATTCACAACTCAAGTTACTCGAGCCCTCGACAGCCGCCATCGCCAATTCTCCGTCTCTGTCTCTGTCTCCCTCTGGCGACTTGCGAGTTGCGACCACCATCACCATCTTCTCCTCCCAACCGCGACTACCCCATCACCGCCGTCTAGAACACCAGCATCATTCTGCGAATCGAAATCGACCACTTTCATCTCATCTTCTCTCCCAAATTAAGGTAGTATAGTTTCTTAAATCTTAACTCTCTGGAGTCTCTGCATTCTGCAATCTCTGATTCTCTCTGGTTAATTTCTTAGATTTAGGGATTTAGGGATTTAGGGTTTCCTGGATATATGCCCTATCTGACTTTGCAATCTCTGACTCTCTGCATTCTGTAATCATATGGGATTTCAAAAAAACCCCAAACTGAATCCATAAATTTGCCTTATATGAATTGGGAGGGGTTCATAAATTTGCCTTCATAGGATTACCGAAGCCGCACATGCTGATGCTGTGATTTTGTTGGGTTCTTGAATCTTGACTTCTGTTCTGTTCCAATTTCAATTCCTTTGTTGAATTGAATTTGATGTTCTGTTGAATTAAATTGAATTTGAATATATATGTATGTCCAGCGAGAGTTTCAGACTTGTATATATTTGAATCTTCTGTTTCAGATTTGGGTATTTTTAATTAGATTATGTTTGGTTGATGAGAAAATTTAATTCATTAGTCTGTACTCGGCAAATATTTACAAAGGAGATTATACAGACTATTATACACAATCTAAGTAACCTGTTCTGAAAAAAAAAATGTAATTTGGACCTGTGGACTTGGCCCGAACTGGTGGCCTGTTTGAGTTAGGTCCGGTTCGAAGTCTCAGAATTCATATACCCGGCCCGGCCGGCCCGTGCCCACCGCTACCTCGAATAGCTAAAAACAAGCCAGAATAATCCTGAATAAAACTCCCTTTCTTTTTCTGAAACAAAATCTCTCAAAGCATGTCGCCAAAAATTCATACATATAGAGACAGCTACATATAATCATCAAGCTGATTATTATTTATCTAATTTTAGGGTTTGTTTGTTTTTCTATTGTATTTATTTCTCTTGGGTTTTGGGTTCATACTGCATTGGTTTTCTCTTCATTTTTCCTTGCAGTTTTGTGCCCTTGATTGAACAATGGGGTCGTCTTCAACCACGGCTGTTCCACAAATGCAGGTAATATAGATACATATTTGTATATATATATATATATATGTATATACATATATTATGTGTAGGTAGTATTTTGTTTATTCAATATGTGGTATATATGTGCATTTGAATTGGAGATTATGGTTTGATGCTAATATGCTTGGGTAGAAGAACATGGAAATTGATTTTGACCCTTTTTCATAGAAAAGACAAAGAGATTGAAATTGCCTGGTTGGTTAAGAAGTGACAGTTTAATTCATCGACAAGATAAGATAAACATGGAACATTATTCCAGTGAACGGGGATTCCACAGACTGAGCATTTGATTATGGGTGTGAACATTTTCTTTTCTGGTTAGTAGGTACTGATAGTTTGGACTACAGAAAGATCGGTGAAAGACTTGTGAGTGGTGAGGTCAGGTTTCATCGGAACGGGATTGAAACTATAATCAGTTATGGTTTACTAGCCGATATGGTTGGAGATGTATGAGTTGCGTTTCTATATTCTGACGAGGTGAAATAGGTATAGATGAGAATTTTTTGTTAGGGACATATCCACTGAAGCTTCTGTTAAGTTTACAGACCTCGTGGCTAACTACTGAATTGGAGCCTCATCACATCTGTTAATATATTAGTACCCTTAACAATTTTGCTTCTCTTCTTTATATGTTCTGCTTAGAAGTTTAGTATTTCTTTGTAGAATTATGGCACTGGCTTCTCCTTTATACATTATTTGTTACTTTCTATGTTCCATTTTGTTGTATGCCATTGACGTAAGAAAATGAGGGGGATAATCTCTGCTGGTGTTATACAAATTTGTTTCTTGCATTGAGTTTTGTGGGTTTAGGGAGCAAATATAGAAATTCACAATATTATACACAGGTTCAGAAGCTCTAATTGCATGATTCTGTTACTAAGAGAATTTAAATTATAAGTTTACGCTGGATGTTTTATTTCACGTACTTTACCACATCTGCTTTGCTGTTATGCTGTTTGTTGGTATCAAATGTTGGTTATTCAAACATTTAATTATGCAAGTATGTGCAGAATTCTATACATATGTATCCTTGTGTCTGTGTGTGAGCTGCATACACATGCTCTGTGTTCATCTTTTGTTTTCTTGAGCATGTGGACTTTCTTTGTCAAACTAATCTATATTGACAGGAAATTATGCTGGAGTTTCGCGCTGGTAAGATGGTTTTTGAGGGGAAAAAGGTTGCTCCTGATACTCGTAGAGGACTTGTTCGCATAGCAAGGGTATGTATAAGTTGATGTAGTCTTGGAGAGGTTTTATTAATCAATTCTAGCATATAAAAGTTGACATGCATTCTATCTAATATTTATTTGAACTCATTCTAGCAGTCTTTTAGTAAATCTATCTTCTTTCTGTATCAGGGTGATGAGGGGTTGGTGCATTTTCAGTGGCTTGATCGTAGTCTAAATGTTGTGGAAGATGTATCCTGGTTTCTTTTTCATTTATGCAAGACTTTCTCCAGTTTCTAGTCTTGTTTATGGTGCGGTAACTGTTTATTCACAATTTTCTGAAGCATGTGGTATTTTTAAGCTCTTTATGATCATTTTTATCGTTGTTGTTATTTCTTGGAAGTCTTTGTTCTTCCATGTTTTCTTAATTTTCCACTTCTATTTGTACATATTTATTTTTTGTAATTCTTGTTCACTTCACAGTTTCACATTCCATTTTTTGTTTGTTTACTCTCCCACTTAATATTTGTTTAAACTTTTCTTAAAGTTTCCTTAACGAAAGTACCACAGGATCAGATTATATTTCCTGACGAGGCAGTTTTCGAAAAGGTATGAATCAAATTTTGGATTTTCATGATGTATCTCTGCCCCCTCTCAAAACTACGGTTCAATATCATAACTTTTTGTTCAATCAGGTTAATCAAGTGTCAGGAAGGGTCTACATATTGAAGTTCACCACCGATGACAGGAAGTTTTTCTTTTGGATGCAGGTGAGGTTCATTGTCAATCTGTTTTCCTTTTTTTAATTGTTCTAAGATTCTTAATTACAGTGTTAATGTGATATCCAGGAGCCTAAAGCTGAAGGTGACTCACAGTTGTGTAGCTCTGTTAATTACTACCTCAATCGACCATTAGGTATATTAAATTTATTTTATTGCTTTAGGCTACAAATAATATTAGCTCCTCTATGTCTATTTTCTTTTTCTTTAAGTTTGTGTTAACTGCATCATTGCGTTGTATTAAGCTTTGTCTCAAGTTCTCAACCATATACATGAACATGAGAAATACTGCCTGTCGTTGGCATTAAATGCCATTATGTTAATTCGTAGATATTTATATTATATTGTTAAATCATAGAACATTGTAAAACATTACCTAAAATGTGAATTAAAATTAAAGAGATTTCACCTTTCAGATTTCAATTCTCGTACTACAAAAATTCTTAAGGCTTCAACTTTAACAAAACTGTTTAATATAAGTTCAAAGACTTGGAGCTTAGTCTGTATTCTATTGCATTTCTGCCTCAAGTTTGATTTTGTGTTTATCTTGACGCTTCAGCAGAGTTCCTTGACGAAGAAGGGCCTGATGGTTCTATTCCCTTACAAGTTTCTGAAGATATGGTTGATGATGATATTTCATCAAGGTATAGTTCTCATATCCATGAAACTTGCTACTTTGTTCTCTTAGTGGCCAGATGGGGAGAAGGGGGAAGTGGCAGAACTCCGCAACTAGTAATGAAACAAGAGTGATGAACTTACAGTTGAGTTCTGGGGTGCTTTCAATTGGGTAGCCCCTAAAATAAGAAGATCAAATAGGCTGCCACCAAATAAATTTGTTTAGATTGCAAGATAATTTAACTAGCTAGTTTATAAAACAATTGTTGTCTTGACTAGTTAGTTTATTGGCATTTTTTCATCAAAGATAGACAGAACCAAGTCTGTTTGTTAATTGTTAGAAATGGTTTCTTAAATTCCAAATTCTTATAGAAGTTGTTTTCGTCTCTTCTAGTGACTTGCAAGAAAACAAAAGTTTCCCCTCCTGGTGTAGTAGTCATTATAATATTAAAAAAATTATGTTTTTACAATCAGACTCTCCCCCAAGAAAACTAAGATGGGAGGGTATTAGGGACGCTAGATACCTTTAAGAGTTTTTATGTTGTGCGATGTATCTGGCTTGCCATTTTCTGCTTGATGTTCTTCTCATTTGCAGTACATTACTCTTTTATGATTAATGTTATGTTGTCCAGAGCTGGAATCTTGCTGGAACCAAACTTGGGTGGGGAAGTAAGTAGCGATGTAACTTCTTCAGCTGGCCCAGTGAAATTGGAAGATCTTCAAAGAATCTTAAGTAACATTGAGCCAGCAGGTACTATGTTTTCTCCATGGAGTACAAATTTTTATACAAGTTTTCCCTTTCTTTTAAATTGAACTTACATTCACACTTCTGCTATCTGCAGATAGGGCTGTGGATACAGATGAAGGTAATAATATGATTTTTTTTTATATTTTTTTACCATTAATGTTGTTTTTGGGATAAATACAATAATGCTTTAAATCCAAATTTTTGTGATTAAATATGAACTGGTTTCCTCTGTATAGGAATTTTATTACAGTTTTTGTTATCTTAACCATCTAATGTGTTGCATAGTTTTAATGCAAAATGCTCTTCCTAATTTTTACTGAAAAGATTTAACAGTTTTGTGAATATTGAATATGTTCCTTATTTCCTGTAGTGAAAATTGTTAATGCATTAGAAATTACTTCAGCATGACATGTCAAATGTTTTGAACCCCTGCGAACTATGTAGAATATTGCAATTGGGTTCATATTGTTGACCTGGTTTGCTTCTAGCACTGAATAATTTGTTTCTTTAATTTGCTCAATAATTAACAGTGTTACAATTCAAAAAGGATGACGCAGCGGGCACCGCATATGTAAAAGAATATTTTGCTAGGAAGTTCAGTTTCCCTATTGCCCTTAACCTTTTCTGTTTTCGTTCTTCCTTTTTGTGGCCTTTCTCCTAACTGTCTTGGCAGTATTGTCATGTTGCTTGTGGCAAACATTCACTTTACCCGATATGTTATGTCCAGATTCCACATTGACCCTCAATTGTTCGGTGAATCTTTTGTGAAGTGCAAGTTTGGTAGTGAGGTGTAAATCGATTTATTTAATTGGCAGAACCTAACAGAATTGATCACATAGAGGACTAAAGTGATTTTAACCCTTAATTTTTCACATTAGCCTCTCTTAGTTCCCTATTGGTACCTGTCAATGATTACTAAAGAGTTCTAACAACATGCATGCCAGCCCATTGTACTATAGTATCTACAGTATTACCTAAATGGCTGCTGTTTCCAAAGTTTTTTCTTGAAATACGATATGGCTCTAATCTTGTGACTTTTGTTTTTATTGGTCTAGGCTTGAGTTTGGAGGATATATTCAAACCCGAGTTGATTATGCCATTGATTGAGACATTGCCACTGGAACAGGGTTTAGGTTCTTACTTACCTGAGGTATGCAAATTTCTGGTTCACTACCCTTTCTGTATTCTTGATCTCTTATACATTAGTTTTTCTCCATTGTTTAATTCGGTTGGGGTTACAGGGTCAATGGTCTCCTGACGATGTATTGGAGTTGCTGCAGAGTCCACCTTTCCGCCAACAAATGGATTCATTTGCTTATGTAAGAATTTGAAAACTCATCTTGTGGCATTTTGATTGTGTCCGTTTCTTTAATGAGTGTGAAGCTGTTTCTTTCTTTTACCTTTCCCTAAATGTTTATTATAGGTACTTCGAACAGGACAGATAGATTTGACGCAGTTTGGTATTGACCCAAGTAAATGTAAGGACTCCATATCTCGTAGCTTGCTAGTATACCTATGCTTGCTGAACAATTTTTTGTCTTCCCTTTCGACGGGAAAAATGTTTATACCATTATTGGGTTAAATTCAAATTGAGCCTTGCCTAGTAACTTGACAATAAAACATTCCAGCGTGTGAGAAAGATCCAACTACTTGATAGACGCATCTTATGCTTGTGATAAGAAGTCAATGAGTTGTCATCATTCGTGGGTTTATACCTAGAGGGTCTGATGCTAATGTTGTTTTCAGTCTTTTGCATCCACTTGCGGATGTAGGATCTCGTCAAATGAGATTATATGCCATCACTCTGTATGATGATAATTCATGGATTTGCTACTTACGGTTTTTATTACTTTTCATTCTTGCTCTTGCAGACAAGTTCACTGTATTGTCCTTTCTTGAGGCGCTTGATGATTCGGTTTCAAAGACGTCAGAGTCTGAGGAGTCGAGGCAAGACAGGAAGGATTTAAGATCTGAATCTTGTAACCGTAATGACCCCATGGATGAGTCCAAGTAGTGGAGGCACTTGTTTATGCGTTCTTGTTAAATTTATCCTTGTTTTATTTGTAGGACTTTAATGTGTAGGACATCAATCTGGTTGTCTTGTAAACTCTGTATACATGGTTCAAGAAAGAAAAGGAGCAAGAAAAAGGATTAGTGTTGATCTTTGTTTATATTTCCTACTATTTCGTACAAAGATCAATTCGACGAAACATTTTCTTCGATTGGTAATCGTCTTCGAACATCAAAAGTTAACAAGCTAACAGATGAATTTTTTTTGGTAAAAAGAATGTATATTTGAAACTCACATGACCTAGTTTTGAAAGAAGTAAAAGGGGTGTATTTGTATTTCGGCGAAGCTTTTTGGCCAACAAGATATGTAAAAATGCTCGTTTAGAGGCAATTTGAGGATATCAAATCAAATGGCTTGCTAGATCATTCTCAACTATTTCCTACAACATTTTTTTGGGTAGTTAATTTTCTTGCAGAAGCTATTAGTTGTGTTGGTCTTTCTTTGCCAAGATTCTCGTATTTAGGCAATATTTATCTTTTTATTAAGTTGTATTGGAACTGGTTGTACTCGTGGTTTTTGTTTTTTTTTTTTTTTTAAGGGGAACACCTAGTGGCAAGCCACGGTTATCCATCCTTTATGTAGGCACTAAATAGCTCGATGTCCCATCTGGCCACAAGTGAGGCATTCGCTACTACGAGTTGGTTTGGTATTGCTGTGCTTTGAAAAAAAACTGTTGTGAGAATAAGCGGATGTGCTGTGAGAATAAGCAGTTGTGAAATAAATCAGCAAAGTGTTTGGTAAACTTTTTTGTAAAAGTGCTTTTGGAAAAAAAAACAGTCTGATAGTGGGTCTTTTCATTAAATGAGCATTGTAGCTCCGTGTGCTTTGAAAAAAAAGCTAGTTTTCCAAAACTGCAAATAGCTGGTTCAGTTTTTTCCTTTGATTTCAGCTTATTACAGCAACTTCCAAAATAAGCCCTTTTTTTTCAGTTTATCAAACACCTAAAACCCTCACAACTTTTTTTCATGGGTGCTTTTTTTTTAAGCACCTCACTCCGAAACCACCCCTGCCTCTCCTACACTCCCCAAAATGCCGATTATTGCACCTACGGCACAAGGGAGCACCTGTACTACTGGAATCCCTCTGTCTCTGGAACCGAGAACCTCCTGAAAATCGGCCACCTCTCCTCGGTGCAGTAGAACTCAAACCCCCACTGAAAGAACTGGAACTAGTACCACTTCTCTTAAAACTCTGCGTCTTGCGATGTAACACCCGCCCCCTAATTATAAAGATTTATGTTTGTAATTACCCCTAAATGTTTTAAATATATCTATTTCATCATTTTTGTCTACCAAATCAGGATCCAAAGCATTGGATCCCTTTTCTTTCTAAATCTGCCACGTGGCAGCCCCCCAAACAACTTCTCTTTCTTCTCTCTCTGTTCCCCCGTGAACCCCCCCTTCCTTCTTCTTCTTCTTTTTCTGTCTGTCATGTCTCTCTCCCTTCTCTCGGACCTCTCTCAGCTCCCTTATCTCTCTTCTCAACCGCGAACGCACGCACGCACCCATCTCCCCTGCGCGAGGAAGACCCCTCATCGTCGCCATCTCGTCCTTCTCCCCCTCTGTCCCGTGCTGCAACCCCAGGAAACCCGGAAAGGAACTCCGGCGAGTTCCTATTTTCCCGGTGAGGTAAGCCTCAAATCTCCCTTATTTCGTCCAAGAATCTTGTGGGTTGAGTTTTAATTGAGTTTATTGTGTGATTTTTGGAGGTTATAGGACGAAATCGAAGCCGGGTGTAGGCACACCCATCTCCGACGACTTTCGAGAGAATTTCCGGCCAAACCACGGCGAGTTGGCCGGCGTGCAAGGTATCAATCTCTTCGTCTCGTCGAGTACTATAACTTTCCTTTTTGTTTCACTCAATTTCATTGAGTATTGAAGAAGTTATACTCATTTGAAATCTTACCCAGTTTCCGGCGACCTCCGAGGCTTTCGAGGAAATTTCCGGCCAAACTACGGCGAGTTAGACGTCGTGTGAGGTATCATTCTCTTCGTCTCTTCCAGGGCTACAACTTTCATTTTTGTCTTGCTTGATTTCGTTGAGTAGTGACAAAGTTATGGCCGTTTAAAGTTGGGTAGTTTTCCGGCCGAATTCCGGCCTTCTCCTCCCTTTGAATCCGGCGACCCACCAACCCAAGGCCTTTGGGCCTTTCTGCCGAGCCCAACCCAAAACTAACCTAAACCCCTTTACCTAGAAACCCAACCCAACCTCCTTTTATTTTATTTTGTTTTTAGTATATTGTTATTATTTGTTTAAAAGGCCTTGGGCCTCATTTGTGAAAGCCCTAAATCCAAACTCATTTTCCTTTTAAAACCCAAACCCTTTTAGCCCTTAACCTAACCCAAACCCAAGTCCTAAAACCCTAAACCTTAACCGATCCAAACATTTTTGGGGAATATTCCGTCAGGGAATATTCAAGGAATATTCTATGGACTTTTAAGAAATTTATCCGGAAACCTTCTTAGGGTAATTCGACGTCCTAAATCCGTTCCTACGTCCGTTTTCTCAAATTCAATTGTTATGCTAGAGTTTTATTAATTGGACCCCTTTATGTGCTTAGGGGCAATTATAGTGGCGTTTCTGTCTTCGCTAGCTGCGTGACTTTTCGACGGCGAAGTACTGTGAGTGGACCCCTTCTAAAATGCATGTTTTATAGTAGAAATGCATACATGAAAAGCATGATTTGATGATTACGTTTTATGAAACGTTTTGTGAGATAACATGCTTATTGAGGCTACTTTAAATTATTACTATTTTTCCTATAACCCGTGTTCTTATAGAATATCTGATGGATGACGATATGATATTTTGAACATGTTTCGAACACCTCTTTATAGTATAGATGATTGATGACTTTATACTATGAAGTTGTTTTTCAATATATGTATGTTCAATGGTTTTGTACTTATCTAGTGGTCCTTTCCGCTACGGGACGTAGGGATAGATTCCGGTCCGTCCCGGGCAACGGTTTGGTGTTGGCATAGGGCCTGGAGTGTGTTTCCTCTGGCTATTTAGCACAGGGACGGGGAGCCGGCATGGGGCCTGAAGTGTATTTTCCTCTGACTGTCTGCTCAGAGACGGGGAGCCGGCATGGGGCATGGGGGTTATCGGACAATTCACTAGTGATTATTATATATACAAGTTATGATTTGAGACACTGCACATCATGCTAGGTTTCGGAAAACCTATGGTTATCATTATATATGTGTTTTCATAAAACTTGGGGGTTAGTACGTTGATAACTGTTATGTTATATTTATATCAAATTGGTCCACTCATGTTTGTTTTGCGTCCCCTTCAGGATTTAGGATCGAGGCATACAATCCCGGCATCCAGGCACTTCCGCATCGGTATCTTCGAGTCCTCTCGGTGTAGGACCCACTTCTGTGTTCATTCAATTTTTATATTAATTCTTTTAATGTTCTAGATTAGATGTGTGCTCTGAACACGTTCCTTAAATATGTATTCTTTATTCTCTTATATTTATAAGTCTTATCTATCCCTTGTTGTCAGCATTTGCACTCAATAAATGGCTTTCGTCACCCTTCGGGTGTCGGCCAGCACGTGACCATCCCTTTGTCCCTAGGACATCGGGATCGGGGCGTGTCATGCGAGGTCCCTATGATGACTTGCCATTATCTTTATTATCATTTTTCTTCTGGCTATTATCTTTTTCTTCCTCTTCCCCACTGTCATTGGGCATATTTTCAGAATCCTCAACCTGTAGAAGAATCTCATAAAACTCCTGATATGTAGCACAGGGAGTCATGGTCGCCATGGAACACCACTTCTTTCTAGTACCCAATCTAAAACGGCGAAGCATCTCGTAGGATTTGCAGCAATCTCTGGGCAATAACGAGATAAATCAGTCGATTTCCTATAATATTCATTAGCAGACATCTTCCCCTGCTTCAAGTGCGTGAATTCTTGCTTCTTACGATCTATATACTCTAGAGGTATGAATCTCTTCTGAAATACCTACTTAAAAATTTCTCAATCAGCAGCTTCCTCTGGTGATAACTGAAAATATTCTTGCCTCCACCAGGATGCAGGCTCTTCCCCCAAAAACCAAGTGGTCATCTCGATCCATTTATCCTTAGGAAGATTCCTCTGTCTCTGCATCAATTGAAAAGTTATCTCAAGATGATTGAGCCAACGCTCAGCTCCCTCAGGTCTCGTAGTACCCACAAAATTATTCAACTTTAAATTATACATAGTCTCCAGGGGAGTCCTCTGGGGAAGACGAAACAAAGACTGAATGGCATTGGCAATTGCTTCCCCAAGTTGAGCAATATCAGGGAAACTAGATTCAGCTGAAGTACGTGGCTTTCTACGAGGCGGCATGGTTCTGACAGAAGATATCAAAATAATTAGAATACTCACAAAATATGCAGGAACCTAGGCTTTGATACCAAACTGACACACACCGACCTAAATTGAGGTATGATGGCCGTTACGTGAGGGTGACGTAGCCATGTGCGCAGTGCGGAAGTGATAGCGATATAAAAATGCGAGTAAATAAAAAAACCAATCTAACTAATTAACACTTTACTAATATATAAGTGCGAGGTATATAAGTATAGTTACATTTATTCAGAGCATAGGTAACCTAAGTGCAGTCCAGCAAGTCAAGTATTAATTATATAATACCAGAGAGATGATCCTACAATATTTATAGTCTGTTAGAACCGCCGTCATAAGCCACCAACAAGCACGCCTATTTAGAACCTGAAAGGGTGCAGAACAAAAAGTGTGAGTAGGCAAAAACAAAGTTTTCAAAACCATTTCTTTTTCCAACAGTTATAACCCCTCGCCGTAAAACCTGTATAGTTTCCCAAAAAATAGAATACATACATATATCAAAACCATACTCGAAAGTAGTGAAATCCAAATATATGCCATGTCAAATATCTCAGCATAATAATTAAGTAAACCAGATGAAGTAAATCAATGTAAGTGATATGTCAGCCGGATCCACCTAATGTGGCATGTACGGCTAAACCTATAGCTCATCAAATATACTTGCACACGAGTCGGAACCACCTATTGTGGTCTGTACGACAGGGCTAGGTGAAATAAGTACGCTCAAGTGCTACGATCAAGTGAAGGCTGTGCGATAAATCGCAGGTCACCAACGAGTCGGAACCACCTAATGTGATTTGTACGACAGGGTTGTGCACCAAACTTGGATCCAAGGTGAGCGTGCGGTGTGGGAGGTGAACATTACGTGAAGGACTATGCCCTGGCCAATGGCGGGAGCACTAACACCGGGGTGCAGGTTTATGAGCTCTAAATGCCTCTAAGCATAACCATTACAATGCAACACACATTCATCAATACATATACTCACTTGGAACTTACCTAAGCATTCGCCGCATCAAACAATAACCTACACAACTACTAAATGCATATTCTAAGATATAAGCATTTGACATGGCATTTAAACACAAAATCATTTAAATCAATTTTTCTGGGAAAAACGTAAGGCATATATTCATATATTGAAAATCAAAAGCCCACTCATTGATATGTAGCAGGGTCGTAACCCCCGAGCCTCGCCTGAATACGCTTATCCTCTGGAAACGTCTCACCTATATGTGAAACAACTATTTTAACATTAATTTTAAGCACATACTCAAAACTATGTAATAACTTCTCATACGTTGCTCAATTGAGGTGTTCGAATATACCATCGTGGCTAACTCAACACCACGAACATCCACATATTTTTAGAAAAAAAATTTGATGCCCCACACGCCCTCACGCGCCGGCCAAGGCACGGCCACGCACAGTCACGTTGGACGAAATCCCTAACAGCGTTAGGGAATATTCTGTTAAATAACAACATATACCGTTATATTTACTTGACGTTGTTAGCATATTCCGTCAAATTGACAGAATATTCTCCTTTTTCTCCAATGGTTCGCCGAATTCCGACGCCAGCCGCTATCTGTATCACTGGTTTCTGGAAAAACTTTAAACCTGAATATCTTCGCCATTTCTCAATCAAATTTCATGAAATTTATACCAAAATGAAGCTCTAAACGAGTAGAACATATTCTTACCACTTTGAAGTCCTAAAACCCAATGGAAATAGTCGGAAAATTCCTCGACATTCCGTCCAAAATTGCAACTCACGAAACTAACCTATCCTGATGTCCAAAACCTTCCAAACTTCTTTATAATATTCGTGAAGTTGTTTTAAAACTCTCTTGGACTTTAAAACCCCATGAAACACCCATGATCATGACGGAGTAACAGAGCACCTGATCGAAGTTCACTAGTTCCTGAGTTCCCGAGGTTCTTTCTCCAAACTAATGGTATATCTATGCTTCTGAGTTTGCAAGGACTTCATAAATGACCTCCACTAGCTCGATCTGTGCAAGAGGAAATTGGTAGAGGGTATGAGTGTACGGACTGTACGGATTAGGGAAGGATCGAGAGAGAAGGTGAAGGTATACGTGTGTGTCCGGATTGGGTGCATATAAAAATCTTAAGCCCTAATTGGGCTACCAATTATAGGGCTAACATTCATCCAAAACAACCCCATATTTTTAATTGGGTCCAAAGAAGTAGGAAGTGAAGTAGTTGGTCCATTTCTTAGCCCGTTTATACAATCATATTATGTCTTTTCAAGGGCAAAATCATCATTTCCATGCCTTCGGGGATATAATATATTTTATTTCGGGATGGGTCGTCATATTTAGGCTATTTTTTAAATTAACTTTAAAAAAATGAAATTATGTAGACTATCCTAAATTAATTTTATGAACATTTTAACCTAAAAATCAATTCGACGAAATATTTTCTTTGATTGGTAATCGTATTCGAACATCAAACTTAACAAGCTAACAGATCAATTTTTTTTGGTAAAAAGAATGTATATTTGAAACTCACATGACCTACCTTTGAAAGAAGTAAAAAGAGTGTATTTGTGTTTCGGCGAAGCTTTTTGGCCAACAAGATGTGTAAAAATGCTCGTTTAGAGGCAATTTGAGGATATGAAATGGCTTGCTAGATCATTCTCAACTATTTCCTACAACACTTTTTTTGGGTAGTTAATTTTCTTGCAGATGCTATCAGTTGTGTTGGTCTTTCTTTGCCAAGATACTCATATTTAGGCAATATATATCTTTTTATTAAGTTGCATTGGAAATGCTTGTACTCGTGGTTTTTTTTTATTTGTTTTAAAGGGGGACAACTAGTGGCAAGCCACGATTATCCACCTTTTCAGGGGGCCGGGAAGACTCACAGAGACATTTCAGCCTAACCTTTTCACTTTATACATTTTTTTTCTTTTTACGATTAAATAAAAAAATTATAAAAAGCTTATTCATTGGTTAAAAACATTCATCATAGCTTAAAAAAAAACATTCATCATTATATATTTATTACACTATTTTCCTTTTGAATAATCGATATTATCTACACACTAACGCGGTGAGAAAGTGGGTTACGTCTCATAATGGACTAACAATATTGTGGTTCAAATTCGCTTTTGGCGATAATGGAACCTAAGACCTCTCATTTATAAATGAAGATGATCATAGTACTCTGTGGGTGAAAATGTGTTAAACCGTTGCGTGGTGGCAAAATTCGAACTCCGTCGGTGGCTAACCTAACAAAATCTATTGTTTGTTAAAAAAAAAAAAAAAGAAGTATAGAAGCTCTATTAGACCATCTCCAACCCTTGGCTTAAAACCTAAAATTTTTAACCCATAATATTTAGGTTTTAACCCAGATACAACTTTTTTGCTCCAACCATTATAGCCTAAAATTTTACTCCCATATTATTAAAGAATAAATTTAGGCTATTTTTTTAAATTAACTTTTAAATAACAATAAAATTATGTGTACTATTCTAAATTAATTTTATGAACGTTTTAACCTAAAAATATTTAAATTTCGATAAACATTGAAAAATCATTAAACTGACACATGAAACTCATAAAATACTACAGAAGAATATGAAACACATGAGACACATAATTTTAACCGTTGAATTTAAATTTGGGCCGTTAGATTTGATCATAATCGATTTCAGTCGTTGGATTCAATAAAATTTTAAATATAAAACAAAAATATTAACTAATTTAAATGTGGACCGTTGAATAACCAACAACTCATTTGAATATGAGCCGTTGATCAACCAAAAGAGCCGTTGTGCTCAATTTTATTGGCAAACAAGTGGGAGACACACCTATGTGGGTGGGGGCTCCACCACTAATTTTGGCCTAAATCTGACTTTTTTTTTAGGTTTTAGGTTTTAGGTACAAATTAGAACTTGGGTTCGAATGAATTGGAGGGAATAGAAGGGTAATTATAGGTTTTAGGCCATGGCTTGGAGTTGGTCTTGCAATTTTCAATGGCTAGTGAAATTGTGGGTGTAAACATACTTTGGGCTTCAAAACGCACCGTGTTGGTTATCATCGTTTTCCTCCTCCTAAACCCTAAACCCTCCTTCGTCTCTCAGTCCCACTCCTCGTCGCTTGGCGTCTCCATTTTCTTCTCTCTCTCTTCTATTTATTGTCTTTCGACAAGCTTCAGAAAACCCTAGAGAGAGGGAGAGAATGGGAATATTCGAGCCGTTCAGAGCAATCGGCTACACAACCAGCTCCGTCCCCTTCTCTGTTCAGCGGCTCGGCACCGAAACCTTCGTCACTGTCTCCGTCGGCAAGGCTTTCCAGATTTACAACGTAATTTTGAATCAATTTCTATTCATTTAATTTTTTTATTCTTCAAGTTGCAACTTTGATGCCCGTTAATTTATGCTTAATTATTTTTTCGTGTTTTGTTTGAATTTGTCTTTTGTTGCAGTGCGCAAAGCTCAGTCTCGTCCTCGTTGGTGTGTTTCTA